TTGAAAGGTGTGTGGGGGTGTGTGTTTAAAGGGGTTTTAGAGCGGGGGTGGTCACACCGCGGGGTGGGCAGTGGCTCTGCGGTGTGGGTCCGGTCGGGCCATGGAGCTCAGCGGCCTAGTGCGAGCCCTGAGGCTGGAGGGGTCGCCCCCCGCTGTCCTGCCGGCAGAGCAAGTCCTCCTCCAAATCGGGCTGCTCTTCTCTGAGGGGGCCGGCGGTGCCCCCAAGGCCAGCGTGGTCAGAGACCTGGGTGCGCTTGTTGAGGCTGCAGAGTGCCGGTGGCTTTTTGGAGGCGTCAGCCCTGCGACGCTGGGCGAGTTGGTGGCTGCGCTGAATGGCTAAGCAGGAGCAAGATGCTGCAGATCTCCCCAGTAAGGACAGCGCGTACGCTGCTGCAGCTGAGAGAGCGGCAGATGTTGGCTCTGTGTTTCTACACCTCCTTGCGAAGCTGGAAGCTGCCAAGACCCAGGAGTCTCTGGGCGTCCCCACGGTGGGTCCAATCCTATGCCGCGTGATGGGACCCATCTACATCTTTGCTGCAACACATATTGTGGAGAGGCCCTGGACAAGTGCGAGGTCTCGGTCGGTGGCACAGGAGCTGCTGGTCTTGCTGGTTCAGGCTGCAGGCTGCAGGTCGGTGGCTGAATTCCTTCGGGGAAAAAATGAAGATGAGGAAGGAAAATTTGCAGCAGTGATGGGGCTCCTGAAACAGGAGTTAACCAAGTGAGTAGGAAGGGGAGGGCAGCAATGGAGAGGGTGGCGTGTTTGGCTGTAGGAAGTACTGGAAACTTTTGGGAAACTGTGTGAGCTCAGGTGTTACAAGACACTAGAGGACAAATATGGGGCCAAGAGCTTTACAAATACCCAGTAATGGAAGGTGGTGGTGGGGGAATCAGTCAGAGCTTACTGTCAGCTGAGAGGCCCAAATGCATAGGAAATGAGCATTTGTTAGTTCCAGTGTTCACTGAGCTTGTGTTTGTATTTCCAGAGACACTTGGAAGCGTAACCCTGCCACGAAGCATGTGTTCTCCTGGACGCTGCCTCATGTCACCCGGCCCTGGCTCAGCCATTACCTGGAGCGTGTCCTCCCGCCATCGCTGCTCATCTCAGACGACTATCGGGAGGAGAATAAAATCCTGGGTGTGCGCTGCCTGCATCATATAATTCTCAACGTGGTAAGGGATTTGAGAAATTAGATCCCTTTCTGGGTGTTGTTCGAAGGAAGGGTGGATTGGACGCCTGTTATGATTCCTAACTTGTAATCCTGGTTCTGCTGTTAACCTGGCAGTTCTGCTCCATCTTCCAAACCATCCCTGTGTGTTTAAATATGTATAGTTCTAACATCTGTTAACAAGAAGCAAAGAATTGCTTTGCCACCTTTTGAACTGAGCTGATTCAAGTATCGGCCTGACAATGGTTTGCAGAGCAGGGTATTAAAGTAATGCCAGTGGAACTGCAAAAATGCAGCTGGGGAGGTGAGGGAAAGTGGCCACTCCTGTGCATGGCAGGGTTTAACCTGCATTTATTATAGCACCTGCTCCCACGTAAGCAGTGTTCCTAATGTGGAGTATGTGTGAGGGTAACATGTTGTGTGGTGGTTTTGGGTTTTTTTTGTTTTTTAATAAAACCTGGGTTTCTGAAGGCTGTTCTCTTTTATTAGGTTAAGCAATACAACGCACAGGAATAATGTTCTGTTCTCTGTTGTTGCAGCCAGCTGCTGATCTGTGCCAGTTCAACAGGGCTCAGGTTGTGTACCATGCCCTTTACAACCATCTCTATTCACGAGAGGCCCCTCTCATCCAGGTAGGACAGCGGAACTTCATTTTAATCTGCCTTGTGGTATTGCGTATCAGCCCCACGAGGGATAGCCAGCTTAAGGCATGAGGGTGCAGAACCTGTTTCCTTGCAGGCAGTCCAGTCAGGCTGTTACTAGCCGATGCTTGTGGCCAAGAGACAAAGTAACTCAGTAGATTTCAGGAAAATCTCAAAGTGGAGGGAAGATCTCTTGCCTCCTGTCCCCTTCCAGGTGGCAGCCCTGCTGAAGAGGGCTGGTAACAGGTAGTAGAAGTAGTCAGGTCTGTCAGGTGAACTGCAGGAGCTGTGGGCAGTCGGGGGGTTGGAAGTTACTGGTGTTTTGGAGAGAACATCAAAAGGACTGCCCAGATTTACCGTCTCGCACTGAACCAGGCAGTACTGCTGTGCCTGCTGGACTTGCTGCCGATCCTGGAGAGAGCCCAGCGGCAGCAGAAGCAGGCCAGACCAACCTCCCCCTGCGATGAGGTGCTGCAGCTGGTTCTGACCCACATGGAGGCAGAGCATCGCCTTGCGCTGCGGCGGGTGTACGCCAGGACCCTGCCTGCCTTCGTGCAGAGGTGAGAGCAGCAACCGCAGCCCTGCAGGGATTTGCTTTGGCCTTGGTCTATACCTCCCTCCTCAGTGTGTGTTTCTTCGGGTTGGCAGGCTTGGCATCCTGATAGTGCGACACCTGAAGAGGCTGGAGCGAGTTATCCTGGGATATCTGGAAGTCTGTGATGGCCCTGAGGAAGAAGCCCGACTGGGAATACTGGAGACACTGCAATGCACCATAGAGCACGCTTGGCCCAGGTACCCATCTGGGGGTGAAAGACACTGTAGAAAGCATATCCTGAATGCTGTCCCTCTTTCAGAGCCAAAGTTACTGTTGCTTGAGGAAAGGCCCTGAAATCCTAAGGGACAATCTGTCACAGGGAAGAACCACTGGCATTACCGCTTTGCTGAAAAACCTGGCCCAAAAATTAAGCTGGGTCCTCATTTTGATCTGACTTCTGCCTGTTCTAGAAGCATCAATTGGCTAAAAACTAAATCTGCGTTCTCTGCATGGCAGAACTGTGGAGTAAGCCCTGTGCTGGGAATTAGGCTGCCCAATGACAGGCATTCCCGATACACCATCCTAAGGTTGTCCCTGTGTTCAGGGCCTGTCCCCTCCCTCTGGTGGGCATACTGAGCGAGGCAGCTTCAGCCCCATCACTGAAGCAGTTGCTCATCTTCGGCCAGCTACAATCCTGCTCCGCACGTAAATGGCAACTAACAGCTCCCGCCTGCAGCATCTAGGAACTGCTAAGCAAGGCTGTGCTTTCCCCTCACTTGCGAAGAGGATTTAGAATAAGGCACGGTTTCCCTTTGCAGAATGCCGTGCAGACTCCCTGTGCTCCTCAAAGCCCTGCTGAAGATGATCTGGGACGTACACACTGACCAAGGTTCAACGCCAGAGCCGGTAAAAGCCGCCTTGCTCCAGGGGGCCACCGAATGCCTCATCCTGCTGGATCGCTGCTCTGAAGGGCAAGTGAAGGTGAGCCGGGGACCCAGCGCTGCTTCATCTCTGATCCCTTCCCCCTTAGAAGGGGCAGCGTGGTGCATGCAAGAGCCCACTTGCTTCCTCAGTTCGACAGGATTTTGAAAGCATCCATTTCCACCCACCTCAACGTTAGTACTTGACTTGACTGATAAATGACTTGATATATATATCAACAGGTATCTATATATGCTTTGTGTAATTCTCCTCCAACAGATAGCTGGGGGAGGGTTGATAACACCATAAACCTGAGTGTGCCAAGGCACTGGAAATTGATGCTTTTCTTGTTTCAGGTCCTGTTGGAAGGCGTGTACAGCAGCTGTGAGGAGAACCGTGTACGGGAATGCATCAGAAAAGTGCAAGAGAACACGTGAGGCGTGGCAGATCAATGCTTACCCTGCTTTTTGTACAGTAAATTTTTTATATTTATTTAAAGTTACTGTCTTTCTCATCCCCCCCATTAGCGCCATACCTCCCCCAAAAAAGATACACTTGAGTGCTCGCCTAGCCACATGCGGGCTTCTCCAGCTTTGAACAAAGCAGCAGTGTCCCCCAGTCCAGGTTCCTTCCCGGAGCACGGTCTGAGCTGAGCCTTGTGTGGTTGTAGAGAAGGTGGGGAGTCTTCTTCCTCAAAACTGCGCTTCATGCAAGAGGTCGGGACAGAAACCCTTCTTTTCTTAAAGAAAATTATCAATTAGAATATTGAAAAAGGAGTAATTTTTGAGGCTCCTGCACAGAGTGGCGAAAGCTGGAAGGAGTTCTAGTGACAGAACTGGAGTCCTGTCATTCAGTACAAAATGCGGGTTCAGGAAGGAGTCAGGCTGCTTTTGTTTTGGTGGTTGGCTCTGTTTCTTCTTCATACTCTATTTCAATGTAGGGACGTTTTCTTCTGGCTGGTCCTTTCAGGGGAGTTTTCCCTTTAGATTTGGAGTGAGAGGCTTTCTTCTCTACTTCTTCCTCCTCTTCCCGTTCCTCTTCACTACTTGTCTCCAACTTATCCATGTCCTAAGAAAGAAAGACAAGAGAGACGTCAAAGCACGCTGTGTAACTAAACCTCCTCTTTCTGCAAAATTATCTCGTGTATCCGATTCCATTTTATAATTCCTGGCTCCCAGCTGTCTAGCCAGAGGCGTTGGGGTGTAGTGGATACAGTGCAGTCTGACTGTGTCATTATGTTCCACAAATCTGATTTTGCTGGCTCTTATCCCATCACCAGAGACACCAAGGGGGTGAAGGTTACTTTCAAACAGCTTAGCCTGACATTTTATACCTGGTGCTTCACCTACCTCAAAGTCGCTGAGGTCACTGTCATCTGCTTCCACAAACTCTCTTTTACTCATGTCCTGTAAGAAATAAAGTCAGCAGCTAGGTCATGCACACAATAGTGTCAGGACTCGCAACAGAAGAGCCATCAAGGTCACCACTTGCACACACATGCTTTTTCTGAGTTCACCTCTCCTAATCTCTTCTTCTCACTCCGACATTCACGCTACAGTGCCCAGCGTGTAGGTGAATCAGAGGTGCTGCACCAGGTCAGGGAAGGATTAACTGTGGTGCTGTGGCTGAAAGCATTACCTCATCATCATCTTCTTCCTTCTCTGCGTCGGACTCGCTCTCGCTTTCTGCATCTTGCTGTTGTAAGGCTTTGTCAAAGGCATGAATGGGGAAGTTGTAAATGTCTCCATACTGAAAAGGAAAATGTGGATTTTCTGTAAGTCACAGGAGGAAGACAGCCATTGGTGGTAGGATCATCTAAAGCCTATGGCCTGCACGGAGGCAGTATCAAACCAGGCTGAACTTGTGGCTCAGCCCCTTTCCTAATTCTGAAGAACGCACTCCTGTACAGAAAATGAGGGTCTCTGCATTTTGGGGAAGCAAGTCCTCCAGCCTGTTATAAAGCCCCTCAAGAAGGGCAGCGTGCAGTCACCCCCACCCCTCCTACACGGGCAATGCTTCTCTGTCGTACCAACGCCCGCGTCTCTCCCCAAGAACCAGCAGGACAGGGGGCGGCAGGAGCAGTTTTACTGCTGTGCTCTGAAGGCAGTGATCCTTACTGTGTCCTGTTTCAGTCTTTCCAGTAACTCCTTCTCAATGGCGTTATCCAGCTGAGCGGCAATCAGGGCTTTCTCCTAATGGAGCAAAGAGGAGCTGTGTCAGTTGTTTGAAAGACGTGTGGAACAGAAGCAATAGACAGGAGATTACATGAAAGAGTGGTATTACCTCTCTTCTCTTCTCTCGCCTTTCAATCTTTCTGCGCAGAGGAACAAGCTTCCTCCTACAGGGAACAACAAGCCCTCGTTAGTGAATCTGCCAGCCTCTTGTGTGGCAGATGAGCAAATGCTCATTCGGGGCAACAACCAGCAGTTATATCATTAGAAATAGTTAAGTGCGTTTATATACGCAGACCACGCTGCAGTTAAATCCATTTCAGCCAGGCTCATTTACAAGCCTGCCAAAGCCCCAGGTGCACTAGGGCTGTGCCTACAGCCAGCGACGGTGGCTCAGTGCACGGGCAGCAGCTCGATAAGCCAAACCAACGTGATCTTAGTCGTGTCACGTACTGTCGCTTGAGCGTCAGCTTCCGGATGCGGATAAGGTACTGTGTGATCTTAGTAAATCGCTGCTTGCATTTGTGTCGGATGAACCGCGGCCAGTAGATGAGGTTCTCGTCTATCTCTTCCAGTGCCTTCTCATAGTTCTTGCTTAGTAGGACCTGGGGGGGGGGAAGGGAAAGGGTTGAGCTATGGAGCAGCAGCAAAGCGGGGACATATCTGCTCTTGGGAGGAGTCCCATCGCTCCCTGCCCTCCGCTGCCTCTCAGTGCGTTATATTAGAGCACGCTTGGTTAGCCGTCTGCTCTCGTTAACTCACCCGCTCCCAGAGTCGACGGGGAAAAGCTGCCCGCTCTATCGTCTTCATGTACAGGTAACACCGACCTAAAGAGAAGAGGAACGTGATCCCAGGAGAGAGACTGAGCATGTCCCTGGCACCGGGAGAGTGCTCAGCGCCCTCGGGCAGGCGGTATTCGCCCCCTCCCCACCCCGGGGGGTAGTTTGTTGCAGTGCCGGACTCTCACCTTTCTCCTCCCTGATGGTCGCATACTGGCTGTTTGCCAGCGGGCAGGAGGAACGGTTGCACAGACCGGTCAGGTTATACTCGTTGCGGCAGAAATTCTGGGTTTTTGTCCTGGAAAGAAAGGTGAGATAAAGGGGAAGGGTGGGAGTACGCCACTGCACGCCCTGCCCCTTGCAGCCGCCCACACCATCCTCTCTGTCCCGCGTGGCTGTCGTGGGACCGGGCACATCCC